CCTTTTCCTGTGCACTTGGAAAGCCGGCAAGACAGTGTCATTTGAATCCCTATTGATTAGAACCTCTTTGATTTTTGTTCAGAGGTTGTTTTCCTTTTTGTTTGTGTGTGTGTGTGTGTGTGTGTGCGAGGGGGGGAGTATAGAAGTCTGAACAGAGAGGCTTTCAATCCAGGGGTGTGATCAATGACAACTTTTGTTCACTACAGAATCTTTTCACCTCCTTGATGGCACAGAGACTGTAAACTTACCTTATCAAATGCTTCCCACTTCTAACTGTTATAATCTGGGCTCTGACTTCCTATCGAGCGCTGATCCATGCAACAACCCCACATGACACATGACACCTAGCACCTAGTAAATAAAACCTCTCACACTGTTGTGTATGTCAACCTCACAATCATGCCTCTGCCAGTGTTTACCACTGGTCAATCCACTATACTTCTATCATCAACCTGTTATCTCACAACTAGCCACCAAAACCTCATCTTATCTCCGTTAATCAATGGCCAGTAAGTTAAGTAAGGCAGTCAATTGACCTAGCTGAAACGCTTTGATAATTCTATTCACCAGGACATAAAGAGGCCTTAAGATGCCCCCTACTTTCCATCCTTCCCTCTATCCTCCCTTTCATCCGTTCCCTCCATCCTCCCCTTAATCCTTTCCTCCATCCTCTCCTTCTCATTCGTTCTTCCCTTCATCCTCTCCATCATCCTTCCCTAGCTGTCTAGCTGTACTTAAGCACAGCTAGCCTGTCAGTCTAGCCATACTCAGGTTAGGCCCTATTGACCGAAACCTGTTGAGTACACAGGTCTCATTAGATCTCTAGTAATTATTAGTGGTTTAATTTACAGGTCAGTAATTAGGCACCTTTTGGTTTCATCTGAAATACAATACTTTAGGTATTGCAAACTAAAATGTGAGCCATAGTGGTGAAATCAGGTGCTCGTTAAAATAATGAAATCTGAGAAATAGGCATTTTCGGGCAGTATGGAATTTTTTTCAAATTTGGCGTTTTGGCTCAACACTTTGTATGTCCATTCAAAAACACTTGTACGTGTGGATTATATGGAAAAACGTTGATTAAAGGCACAAAAACACTAAATTTGTAGTTTTAAAGGACTCTTAAAAGCTATTTTTGGAAGTCACCAAACTGTGGCAGCCATTTTCTCGCTAATTTTACTTCTGAAACTGACATTAAAAATCTAATTGGACTCGAGTCCGAATAGAGCTGGCCATTTTTATAACTCTTTCCGGACGTATTGTTTTTGGGGTTTAGACGTAAAACTTGTGACTCAATTCGGCTACACAGGTGATGTACAAAATAACTTCATATATATAAGATTTATAAGCAACCATCACTCAAAACGTAACATAATATGATAAATAGATCTATATCAAATTGAAGGAAATTGAGGAATACCTTCCAACATGAAACAATGATTAATTTTGAACAGAAGTATGCATTACAAGGTTTAGAAATGGTGATGGTGGTGAGAAAAATACATTTTGACGGAAAAAATTACACACACTAAACATGCGAAAGCGAATCAGCAAAGCTTTCTTATTATATACAGGCCAAGAGCATATATTCCATAAATTTCTGAATGTGCAGCTTTTTATTTGAAAGCAATTATATTCCAATTTTTGTTTGAATGATGATATTTAGGCCTATTGAGTCCAGTTAGATCGTTTTGTTGATGCAAGACCGCAAGAACTAATTCACTCATTTTTCACCAGACCAACGCTTTGACAGAGTGAAACTAGATGTTTTCTTTTCCTAAACCCTTTCCAAGTTTTCAATAACAATAAAAAGTAATCTACTTATAAATAATGGATCATGTTAAAATGAAACAAAACTGAGACCCCCTATCTATCATAGCCGATATATCGGCGATACATCCGCAAAGGGTTGTGGACTCGTGCCGATATATCAGCGATACGTCCTGAAAGAGTTAACAACAAACAATTCAAGCCAAACTTCCAATCAAGTCTTCAGGATGGGCTTCTCCCTCCACCCCCCTCCTTTCTCCACTACTCTCTCTCTCTCTCTCTCTCTCTATCTGATCTGGTTTCGAAGTAAATTACTGCTGATCTAGATCTAGATGATAGACCTCTGTTAGAGAAACAAAAACACCAAAACAATCCTCAGCCAAGAGAGTAAGTTGAGAAAGCTGTTCTAAGGCTATGAAGCGACTATTTGGACTCGAGTCTGAATAGACAAAAATTATCGTACTCTGAATTGAGTCCAGCATGACGTCCGTTCTGACTTCCGACCCTTGTTCAGCATTTACTAACATTTTTTTTATTATACTGACAGTCGAGACATGAGCTTTAATATCCAGTTACTAAAGATCATCTACAATTAGAAACTGACCCTCCCTGCATCATTAGTGTGAACAGAACGAGTAAGTTGAGCTGACCTTGCCAGGGGCAAAGTTAATTATTCATATGTCGACCAATGAGATTGTGCATTGCGATCTAGCACTCTCGGCTTGCTGCTGGGGGGGGAGGGGGGGGGGGGGAAAGAAATGGAAAAACCCCCCCCCCTCCGGGGTTTGCCCCCCGGTTTTCCCAAAAAAATTTTTCGGAAAAATTTTTTTTAAAAACCCCCCCCTTTTAAAACATGTGGAAAGACAAATGGTGGTGAAAGTAATAGGATGCTGTAGTAGTGTTGAAAAGACCCTGAGTTGTCGGTTACACCGTAGGACTACATTTCATTAGACACTGCCATTGGCCTTGGGTAGATCTAATGAGAGCGCAGTCTTTCGACTTTTGACACAATATTTATATTACACAGTCCTAGATTAGTAGGCAGTAGATTCTAGAGATCTAATTCTGGTTTAAACGTAAAATCCCCCAACCACAGTTATATTATTATTACGAAGGCCTTATTATTATGTAACCTTCTTACACTCACATAATAAAACTCACTTAGAACTGAGTCCGAAAATAAAACATTTTTTCGGACCTGAGTCCGAATAGAAGATAGAAGTCTAGACTAGTCTAGACTTCTAGATATAATCTAGATCTAGAATCTAGATTTCTAGATGTAGTCTAGATCTAGATTATATATCTAGATCTAAACCCATTCGGACTCGAGTCCGGAATAGAGTTGGCCGTATTATGTTATATAAGGAAATGTCTCACCCGGGGTGAGAATAGAAATACGATCGACCTCTCACCGCGGGTGAGACTTGCCACCGTTGGCTATTCTCACCTGGTGTGAAACAAGATCTGTTTTTCTTAATTTCGGAATACTTTCTATCGGTGTGGATGATCAAATGAATAAAAGCAAAGAAAAAAATTACGTTATAGCAACAAAAGTAAGCTAATTTGATCGTCTACAAAGATGCTATGGCTATTTCACTTTTCGAATCGAGCCGAACTACGCGGGTCGCCATTTTGTTTTGCCCGTAAGTTCTCGCAAGATCTACTCCTCCCCTCTTCTCTCTCTTTCTGAATACTGTTTATCGGTGGGGACGATCAAATTGACCAAAACAAAGTTTAAAAATGTTTAAACACAAAAGTAAATTAATTTGGTCGTCTACTAAGATGCTACGGCTATTTAACCTTTCTAATCGAGCCGAACTACGCGGGTCGCCATTTTGTTTTGCCCGGAAGTTCTCGCGCTACCCCTCTCTCTCTTTTTCTCTCTCTCTCTCTCCACTGCCCACAGACAAAATTGTACGCTTTTAGGCTAACAACAGTAGTAATGGAACGTTTGTTCACAGCGCAGAATTCTAAAAATTTTCTGTTATCACAGTGTAGAATTCTGCGGTTCAGGGTAAACGCAAAATTAGTTAGCCTAGATCTAGGCTATAACGGTGAACGCACACCGGGTGAGAATAGCCAAAAGACTCGCCTGCGCTATTCTCACCCCGGATGAGAATAGTCTGAGGAAGTGGCTATTCTCATCCGGGGTGAGAATAGAAAAACGATCTACCTCTCACCCCGGGTGAGAATTGCCAGCGTAGGCTATTCTCACCCGGTGCGAAACAAGACCTGCTTTTCCTCATTTTGGAATACTGTCTATCGGTGTGGATGATCCAATTGATAAAAGCCAAGAAAAAATTACGTTATAGCACAAAAGTAAGCTAATTTGATCGTCTTCAAAGATGCTATGGCTATTTCACTGTTCGAATCGAGCCGAACTACGCGGGTCGCCATTTTTTTTTGCCCGCAAGTTCTCGTAAGATCTACTCCTCCCCTATCTCTCTCTCTCTGTCTCTTTCTGAATACTGTCTATCGGTGTGGACGATCAAATTGACCAAAACAAAGTTTAAAAATGATGTTAAAACACAAAAGTAAATTAATTTGGTTGTCTACAAAGATGCTACAGCTATTTAACTTTTCGAATCGAGCCGAACTACGCGGGTCGCCATTTTGTTTTGACCGGAAGTTCTCGCGCTACTCCTCTCTCTCTATCTTTCTCTCTCTCCACTGCCCACAGGCAAAATTGTACGCTTTTAGTAGGCCTAGGCTAGGCTACAGTTGTAATGGAACGTTTGTTCACGGCACAGAATTCTACAATGTTTCTGTTATCGCAGTGTAGAATTCTGTGGTTTAGGGTGAACGCAAAATTTGTTGGCCTAGATCTAGGCTATAACGGTGAACGCGCACCGGGTGAGAATAGCCAAAAGACTCGCCTGCACTATTCTCATCCCAGGTGAGAATAGAGGTGGCCATAGTCTGAATAGAGGTGGCCATAATATAAGAATATCATGATAGACTTTAGTAGAATCTAAATATCTAGAATCTAGATCTAGAATCTAGATATCTAGTAGTGGGTTAGCCTACAGACACAGAGCAGTGAGAGTGGCAGTCATGAGGAGGAGAGTGCTTGTATTCGCGTTGCTAAGACTAAGAACTGAAAGGAAGATATCGCACATGACAGATCTAAGTTGGAAACAAATTTGACAGAATGGGAGTGAGGGAACTGAAAGATCTAGATTTTCTAGATCTAGATCTAGATCAATACTAAAAAGTTCGGGTATACCCACCTTGTTTTTCTAGTTGAAAAAAATGTACTAAAGTCACATTTCAGTAACTCAACAAAACACAAAACTTTTGAAAAGTTTGTTGTTGTGTGCTGCGGAAAACAAAGGAACGGGAGTAGCCCCCCTTGTACAGCAGAACCTGTGACGTTTTTCTCTCGTTAACACCCTCCGCTAACCCTCTTAGGGTCGTCATGGATTAAATTTGGGGGGCACAGGAGGACCAAGGAAAGCAATTTGACCGAGGTATGTACACTCGACACAAGGGGCCTCTTATCGGCCATCATTAAGTAAGTATCATCTGTCGTATTTCCCATGTGATTGGGGAGATAGAAGCCATGAAACTCCCCCTCTTGAGGACTCAGGCTATCTCATCCCACTTTCGTTTTGCTGAGGCTCAACTCGTCTCCGTTTGGTGGTCGTTATCAGTTGACTCGTCTGCTATCTTGGGAGGTTTTGGGGACTCGTCGAGGCTAGCACGAGACACGAAAAGACCCTGGACCTGAACTGAATCCGCCCCGCCTACCCCTGTGATTACAACAGCTGCACGAATCCTCACAAACCCACAAAGTCTTCTCAAAGTTAGTTGAATTTCAGGACTTCATGTTGTCTTTGTCAACTCAACTTTGTGCCTTTGTGCTTCTTGTAGTGGACTCTCTACAGTTTATTACTCCTCCTGACCATTGCCTCCTTGAAAGGGGGAGGAGGAAATCTGAGCCGGACCGTGTAGATTAATGATAAACCCAAAGCGTAGCCTAATTAATTCTATCAGTCAGTCTTCAAGGATAGAGCGCAGTTGTGGTAAGGATTACAAATTGCGACAGGAAGGACCTTCCTGTAAGAAACTGCTTGACAAAATTGTTTATGAAAATAAGTTTCTTGCTTATCTTCACATCATTTAGATCTAGATTCTAATCTAGATATCTAGTCGTGCACAAATTTGAAAGTGTTTGGAGGGAATGCTTGTGAAATAGATTTAGATCTAGATCTAGATCTAGATCTAGACTAGATCTAGATCTAGAATCTAGTGGTGCTTTTTTATTGCAGTGTGGAGTTTTATTTTTTCGTTTGCTACAGATTGTTAAAGGATGCTTTGAGAGATGAGAATTAGTCTGGGCTGTAACATGTGAAGGCCTTCTGTTAGTAAAGTACTACTACAATAACAATGCTTAAATAGTGAAAGATGTCCATTTTTAAAGACCAACTGTTGACGTTATCATACTTTATGGATTTCAAATGAGAAACATTAATTTCTGTTTTGTAGCAAAAGGTTGTGATGTAGTGCACTAGTCCAAGATGAAGGACTTTCGTAACGAGATACCACCCCAACAAACACAATTTAAATAAAAGGACACCTCTAAAAATTTAACCCTAACCTGACCCAAACCCTTAAAGCCCTAACAACCCTAACTCTTGGTATAAGTGTATTTTCTACTATGGCATCTCTAGCCTCTATAAGTTCATAGTGGTCCCTCATTTCGGAATCCTCCTGTGCGCTAGAGTATAGATCTATGGAATGCAAGTTGCCAAGTTCAAGTCAGACGAATCCATAGAGGCCTAGATCTATAGATAATGATTTCTAGCAGATGTTAATCATCATGAATGAGGAAAACAAGAAAAAAGAAATTAGAATTTTAAAATGCGGCATCTAGCCGTAGTAGCTCTATAATAATAATATATATATATATGCTCCAACTTCTAGTCTAAGAAAACTTGATTTTTAACTTGCGGAACAGGACAAATTGACCGTACACCATTGTTCTCACCGGCATTTTTAAATTTGTTATATATAGCAGTTAAGCTACTGGACTCATTGTGGTGAGATTGTCTTGTTGTTGTTAGAATAAATACCGGACTCATTATGGATGGTGAGTTTGTCTAGCTAGGTTACCGGACTCATAGTGTGGTGAGGTTGTCTAGTCGCTACCTTAAAATTACAAACTTCTGACATTTTTCGTCGTTTTGAGTTTCAAGGACCATGAGGTCAGAAACCAAATTATATTCTATCCGCTCTATAACAGAATTCATAGATATATTCTGAGACATATATATTATATATATATATATATATATATATATATATATATATATATATATATATATATATATAATATGCTATTTTGAAGAATTGTATTTGAAAAGCTTGACTCATGTTGTGAAACTTAAATTTCTCGAAACCAGGCAGGTAGCCTACTGAACAGGTAGAACTTCGGTAATTCTAGGTGTGTACAGCATAGTGGACCGTAATGGAGAAACTGTGGGTTCGAATTTTTTAGGCTCAGCTCAGCTCTGCCCACCTAATAAAAAACCTTTTGTGTCCTGGTCCTGAGGAAAGTCACTCTACACTAGTTTCTCTACTCTCACTTCATCCAGGTGAGAATGGATACCAGGCACAGAGAAAGATCAGATCTAAAAATCTGTGTGTTACTTTTTTAGTGCTGGTCCTGTAAAGTGGCATCTTGTGCTGTAGCCTACGGACTGTATGTTTCCCAGGAAGTTGAGATTGTTTCAGAATTTTATCACATGTCTGCTGGGGTAATAGCTTGTGAAGGGCATGATGCATAGAGCTTGGTATTGAGCAGGAATTTGTGCAATACTTTATAATGCTGATTATATAATGATTGTTTTTTTAGGAATTATTATTGTTGTTATTATTTTAATACTGTCTTGTTATTGGCTTGTCTATAGTATCCATCCCTGTCTTTTTACACAGGGTACATTTTTGTCTTTCAGTGAGATTTTAAAAACATTTTTGAAATGTTTCGTTTCAAAGATAAGACATTTTAAAATAAGACAATGTGCGTGTAAAAATTATCTGTTGCTTGTGTTGCACTGATAACAACTGAAAAGGTTGTGTTTAACAGTTTCAGTGTGTTTCTGGAAAAGTTTTTACTTGAGTTCAGTTTGATTACTTTTGTCGGAGAAATATTATACTGGTCTTTTATTTAAGGTTCTCTGAGGTTCTTTGTTGAATAAAGCATCATGTTAGTTCAGAAACAATTTAGTGCAAAGATTTTTTTCAGCACCATCCATGCATTATAACATGATTTAATAGATTTCATATTTGCTAAAACAGTCTTCTCCTAAATTCATGTGGACTTTTTACTGGAGAAAATAATTATCACAAAAATGATACAGTCGAAATTGTCTAAGACAGCCACCCATTGTCAAGGAGAAAAGTGGTTATATTATCTTAGACAGGTGAACGTTTCTCACATTGATTTTATAATGTAAAAAGAATGCAAGGGGGGAATTTGGAAGTGGCAGTTTGTACTGGTGAATGTCTTTGTGGCTGTCAGAGCATGATCCACTCTATTTTTGTTTACTGGCTTCATTTTTTTAAAAAAATGATCCTCCCCAGGATGACAGGGTAGGGGCGTGACTCAGAAGCCACCCAGACATGATTGGATACGCGGAGATGGAGTCGACGCTGCACTACACGTCGGTCACTCACGCCGACGCCATGATGACCAGCATCAACAAAATGCGTCTCAACTCTGACCTTTGCGACGTGACCGTCATCGTGGGCAACTTTCGTATCATGGCCCACCGGGTCATCCTCTCTGCCTCGGCCCCCTTCTTCTACCAGGTCAGAGTTTAGTCAGCCTAGCCATGCTGTGTTTTAATTTTGTAATACCCTGTGTTTTCTTTTATCATTTTATCCTTTTGTTTTCGCATCAGTATTTTTATATTTTCCTTCTTTTTTTTTTTTTATGAAGAGTGCGGGATCAGAATCTGTGACGCAGTGGATAGGAGTTTCGCTGTCACACAGGAAATCCAAGTTTGATTCCAGGGTGGGGAGCAAATTTTAATCGAGTATCTCAGTCTTCCTCCTGTAATGTTGTATCCCTTTCAGTCATGGTTGCGCTAATGGGCAGGGTCAAAAGCTTACCTTCTACGTGATCTAAGCTGTGTTGATAGGGCCATAAACACACCTCTGCGGAATGTGAAGAGTGAGGAAAGGATCAGAGCTTAGCAATTATTTTTTTCTGCTCTTGTGAACTTTAAGTTCTTTTTTTTCATTCTTTTCTTTTTGTTTCTGTGCTATCTCAATCAACAATTATTTTTAAAGTTTAAAGGTTTGTGAAAGTTTTGTTTTTTAGTTCATATTTAGTTCTAAGTGGAGAGTGCAGTTTGTTTGAGTTCAACTCTTTTTGTCTATTCAAAGGAGATGGGGACTACACATGATTTTTGTCAGGTCAAAATTTTGTTTGTTTGTGTGTGT